AATTATTGTGTCTTAGGCCAGACTTTTTTATTCCTTGTTTCTCAAGTTTTTATAAGGCAATTTTTTTGAGGAGGGCGGAAAAAAATATAATTAATTCTTTTTTTCCATTAGATTTGTGTGATTCTCAAAAAATTGTAAGTGAGATCATTGATCGGAGAGAAGAAATGAAATAAAATTTTATTCCATGTACCGGTATAACCTTGTTTCTCATCTGCGCGAGACTTCTGTAGTGTGATCATGATACTCCCACGAAAATGCAACTTGGGTTTGTTATGTGGCGGGCAGAAAAAAAATGAAGATAAAAATAAGTTTTTTTTATCAATTTTTTGCACTTACAAGTCGGCGGTGCGAGAAATTACGCTGAAATAAAATTTCATATTTATTTCATTTTCGGCTCCTCTTCATTTGGCGGGTTCGCGAAACAAGGGATAATAAAAGTCTGGCCTTAATTTGAATAACCACAATGTTGTGTTTGGTACAACCCCAGTTATTGACAGACAAATGAAGATAATATTAGTTAACAACCTTCTCAGCAACATTTTTCGATATTCCCATACTGCACAGCATTGTTACAAGATTTTCATCAGCTTTCCAGCCATCAGCTTCTCCTCTCATCCCTTGATCCTGGTCCTCTTCAGCTAACCTTCCTGCTCCTGGAGATTCACTCATAATTCCAGACTTAGGGGTACTAGATAATACAGAAATCATCATTATGTCAATGTCAACCCTGACCCCTCCCTTCTCGGGCGGTATGGGACAAATGTGCTGCATTAGACGGGGTTTACCACCAAACTCTGCCCGTTGAGGTGGGGTATAATAATGTTTTGTGTCCCGTCATCGCTAGCTGCGCATGCGGACATGCAGGGGGTTTGTTTTGGTGGGAATTTGCCTATCCTTCTTGCCCCAGGTGGTGGGTCATTTGGCAAATCTTACAACAATAATTTCCAAATCCCCTACTAAAGCCCGAGGTGGGAAGGGGGTGGGGGCTGACATTGACTGGAGCATTAGTATGGATACAACTTGTGATATCTGATGACTTTTATAAACAATACTGTATTTGTTAAAATAGCGTCTCAGGTACAAGCACCGATAAGCAGTAAACTGCATTTCCTGCATGTTAATTCATTAAAATACGACTTGACATTAGACAAATGTGGTAAACAACATTGGAAAGTCTTTCTCACGAATCTTCGTGAATTTATGCACTCTTCGATCGATTAAAATGTTAAGAAATTTTGTAGCCTTCGTACATGGACGGGGGGTGTTAGCATCATAATACGAACAGTCGATCCCCAACCACATTATGAGAACTGTCCAATAGTTCGCCCCGATCAACACAGCGCTATACATGATATATGGCTAGAAATTGTGTAGAAACGGCGTGCGTATTATGCAACGCCCGGGAGTTAGACGCGACAAAATGCGTTGTCTACACACAGAACTGCAGCTCGGAGCTGATAAACTGTCACACTACTGAACTGTGGCATGATTCTGAATTCTGAAGGTAAAAAAAACAAACGTTTTAAAATCAGGCTACATATTTCTAATGTTCATCTTGTTTACACGATAACTCAGATAATTGTTATCGTGTACGTCAAACGCATTCACGGTTTGGCTAAAAATAAAGCGGTATACAATGCACTGCACGTCATGCAATTCAGCAACGGGCGAATTTTCGCTGAGAGAATACTTACAAAATATAAAATAAACAGAAGTTTTAGCCTATCAGTGGAGCGTCATCAAACTGATCAAATGATTCATGGAGGCCGCCATCTTCAATAGTGCACCACGGGTGAAAGAGTGGGTCAAAGGTTACTAGGCTGACCCATTTTTCGTGCGTTTTTTTCTGAACGAACTTCCGAACAGTTTAGTACATGAACCGCGGTTTATATGTCCACGGTTATAATAGAGTTTGTGTTTGCTAATTCCAAAAAAAAAACGACAGATAGTTAATCCATGAACCTACAAACTGTTATGGTAGGTCCATGGTTAATCATTGATTGTAAAATACTTTATTTTCGCTTGGAATTTATTTCTCTGGGTGATTCATTGAAAATAAAGTAAAGTGAATATACCTTTTTCCATAGTTTACATTCAACTCATCAACAAATCCGTGCAAATAAACTCAATAAAACACCCAAAAAGTCTTTTCGACGAAAATTAATTTCAGCTAAACGTATTTTACAGTAGTTAAAAGGCGGCAGTCGTCGCGCCGCGCCCTGTTCGATATGGGACTCATAGCGACGTATACAACGCGTGTAAAATACATTGTTTATTCACATGAAATTCGAACACGCGCTGCGCGACGACCACCGCGCTTTAATAATTTGGTTAGTCATTAATTAATTATTTATAGAAGCCAATTTGCGGAACTTTATGTACAAAAGTTGATCTGTGTATCGTGAAAGTTAATCCTGTTTCATGAAATGTTGCAAGCTGATGTTTACAAAAGTTAATCCTGTTTCATGAAATGAAACAAATTGATGTCTACAAAAGTTCATCCTGTTTCATAAAATGTTGAAAATTTTTGTCTACAACGGTTGACCTTGTTCCATGAAATGTTGCAAGTTGTTGTCTACAAAAGTTGATCTGTGTATCATGAAATGTTGCAAGTCGTTGTCTATAAAAGTTGATCCTGTTTCATGAAAAGTTGCAAGTTGTTGTTTGTAAAAGTTGATCCTGTTTCATGAAATGTTGCAAGTTGATGTCTTCAAAAATTAATCCTGTTTCATAAAATGTTGCAAGTTGTTGTCTACAAAAATTTACATTGTTTCATTAAATGTTGCAAGTTGTTGTCTACAAAAGTTGACCCTGTTTCATGAAATGTTGCAAGTTGTTGTCTACAAAAGTTGACCCTGTTTCATGAAATGCT